TTGTGACTGCACCATCACAAGAAAATCTATCTTTCTCCAAAACTCCCTCAAGATGTTGAATCCTATTTAAATGGCTTATTTTTGGAATGTTTTGAACAGAATTTTCATTTTAAAGACAATCACAATGGTTTAATATTTGTTACGAACCAATGACAACCACATATTTTTAAGTACCAGGCATAAATACATATAAATATAACAAAAATATCAACAACAACAATAATAATAATAACACAAAAATAGACACAAATACATTTAGTACATCCTTTCAGTGGGTTTGCTCTTTTAATATTCCAACCAAACAATTTCTGTTGGTGAAAACCTCAAGCCGAATAGCATAAATAGCATCAGTAAGCTATGATGCCATATCAAGTGAGTTTAGCATGCTATTAAAAATTCAGCATTGTATTTTCACTTTGTTAATTCAAGATTTTGACACTCTCCATTGTGTTCGACCCTTTGCTAAGAATTTAATTTTTTATTGCACAAGGGGACTTTGTGTGCTATGGCAAATTTTTTTTAAACAAATTTATGTTGTAGATTAAATAATGTGTATTGAACATTAGTAAAGAGACTTACATATTCTAACTTACTGTTGTTCTCTTTACATTTTCTGTTGATTTGGGTTTTGTAGTGTGCACAAGAATTCACAATACCAAAGTGAGTATAATTTAAAACCTTAGCAAAGGGTCAATCGCACAAAAACACTATAGAAAAAAATTAAGAGGCCACTTGTCTGTTGTCTTTTTGAACTTATTGGCTGTGGGTATAAATAAAATATTTGTTTTAGGTATATAATGACATTCGTTCTAAATAAAAAAAAAACAAAACAAAAAAAACAACTGTCATTTAGAGCACCTTTTTTTTTTCTCCAGAAAATGACAGTGGGTAAAAATAGCTAGTTATTTAATTTATGAACAGAATAGCCTGATCGTATGAGAAAACATAAGTATTTTATGTTTTGTCAGTTTAGTGGCTAATTTGTACAAATTCCTAACTCGTATGAAAATGTACAATTAAAAAAAAAATAAATAACCCAACCCAACCCTAAACCCAACCGTCATTGCAAATCATACTAAATTGTACAAATTCATGCAAATTATCCACTAAATAATTTGTATTGGGTTATTCCACCAAATACGAATTTTTAAACTCTTAATTGAGAACAGTTACGAAATGTGTTTTTGGTGAAATAATCCTATGAATGGAATCATTCAAATAATAACTAAAATAATCAAATTTCAAAATCGAACACAAGATAGCTTGACTTATCACATATGCTAGATTATTTAGCTTGTTTAAGGGAAACATGTACTTATTTCTAAAAGCTAGACAAAACATTTTGTCTTGAAAATGCTTCTTAATTTGAAAATGTTTAGATATGTAGAAAACTAAATATGAGTTGTACAAATGAGATTGTGTGAATAAATAAGAATTACTGACTAAATCAAAAAGTTACAAATTGCCGTGAGATTAAGTTGGATCACAATGGGTTTTCCACCAAATACCAATTTTTTTTAACTCCTCTGAAATGAGAATAGTTAAGAAATGTATATTTGGTGGAATAATCCTATAAATGAAATAATTTAATAAATAAGCAAAATAATCAAATTTCAAAATTGAACACAATATAGTTTGACTTATTACAATTGCTAGAATATTTAGCTTGTTTAAGGGAAACGTAAACTTATTTCTGAAATCTAGACAAAACATTTTGTCTTTAACATGCTTCTTGATTTTTAAAATGTTTCTATATTTAGAAAACTCGAAGTATTTTAAAAGACAAAAAAGAAAATAATTTTCTTTCGCAGTTAAATTAATGCTATTGACTTATTTTAATGTAATTTCACTTTTTTATTATAATAAGTATCGTAAATATCAGTAGTTTCATGCTGATCTCATAAGTATTTTACGTTTTGTCAGTTTACTGGCTAATTCGTATGAATGTTTACGAGTAAAGTTGTATAAAAATGTAATAATTTAAAAAGAAGGTGTGGCACCCAACTCCGCCCCTAAACTCAACCGTAATTGGGGTATGAGCAAGTCATACTGAATAGTACAAATGAGATGTACGATCTCATATGAATTAGAGACAAATCAAAAAGTTTGCTGTGAAATCGTGTAGCTAGATTACAGAATCAACACAAATTACGTTTTCGTCAAACACGCAACTATAAATTGTAAATCCAGAGAAACTGAGAGTGGCCACTTAATTTTTTTTTTCTCTTAATAGTTATCTATATGATTCTCTATTTACAAAGTGCATCAACAGGGTCCCAATTTTACATGGGCGACAATCAATATTCGACTACACACATGGACACCGGGTGACACAAAGTGTGTTGAAAAGCTTAAATATAGTGCAATATATTCAAATGAGCCTTGTAAATGTCAGTGTGAGCAATAAATAAAAAACAATTTCATACCAAATTTAAATGCCATACGCTTAATACAGCAACATTCAGTGAGTCCACATTCATACTGTCACAGTCTTGTATCTTGACTGAGATTTAGCCAAGCTTGATGACACCCATGTAGGTTTCAATGTGAGAGTTCTGGATTTTGGCTTTGGGTTTGCAGGTCACATTAAAAGTATCATCATCATCCAGGTAAATTCCAGTAGCCAAGAAGCCAGTTGAGAGGTTTGATCCATTGATGTAACCTTTTAAGATCACATTTTGTTTTTGTGTTTGGACTGTGATTGTGTGGTTTTCTTTTTTCCTCGAGTCAAGGGTAACTTGGAGATACAGAAAATAAGCGCCTCCCTGAGTCACAGTCAGCTGTCCCTCTCCTTTGATGAACCTTTCTTCAACTGTATTCCACTGCAGGAGCTCAACATCTGTGTTTTCCCCTGTTAACAAGTTAGGGGACTAGTTACGTTACTGTGCTTCAATACAATCACTGGGAACATTTACAATATATATATATATATATATATATATATATATATATATATATATATATATATATATATATATATATATATATATATATATATATATACATCAGCAATCTAATCTGGTTATATTTACCTTACTCTGAATAAGACAATGTTATGATTAAGATGTTTAAACTTGTTGCTGTTAGAATATTATTTTATTTTCTATTTTTACATATTCTATAACATGGATAGATTACATCCCCATGGGACTTGTGCACATTTCTGACCCCAAGCTCAATAAATAAAATGATTGCTGTTTGTTTAAACTACTTATTTATTTATTTATTTATTTATTTATTTATTTATTTATTTATTTATTTATTTATTTATTTATTTATTTATTGGATAACTTAATTGTTTCATGTTTATACAACTTAAATATGTTAGGTTAAATTTGTTTTAGGACAACATGAATAAACCATATGGAATCCCAGCAAATGGTGAGGAAATTTCTTTTTTGGGTTAACTGTCCCTTTAAAATTCAAACTAGCATAAAACCCAGTCACAAAATTACCACAAACAAACAAACAAACAAACAAACAAACAAACAAATAAACAAACAAACAAACAAACAAACAAACAAATCTTCTACTTTTACTTTTTGGGTTAAGCCACACAAAATATAATGTGTTAGGTGTCCAAATAATTTTAAGAACAATTTATTTTTCTAAACACAATTATATTCAGCACCCAACACAAGCAAGGAAACAATGACACCAAAACAATGAAGAAAAGGAAGACACATTGAGTCAAATAATGAAATGTCTAATAAATTTAAATGGTGACTTACAGTTTGGCGTGAATGTCATTAGATCTATTTTCTTTCCAGGATAAACATTATTACTGGTTGTTTCCGAACCCTGTTGGGACAGAAAGTAAGATGTTAATAAGTTGAAGGCTTGTGATTTCTAACACATTGTCTAAGAATACCCTTAAAAATGTAGTACAAAATACTATAAAATAAGGACAGACAGAATTTCGAATAGTTAGATATAAAGATCTGCAATTTTGATGTCAAAACCCACAAGTCTAACGTCACCGATTCCCTCAGATTATTCAGTTACTTATTATATTAATAAGTAACTTGTGTTTTTTATAAGCTTGCCTGTATATTTAAAACCAGTTAAGATAACTTCTTTTTTACACTCCTATTCTTTATAAACCCTTTTCCTTTGAATCTTTAATTACAAAATAACATCTTTATGTTTCAGTTAAAGAAACATGAAAGCTATAATGCAGCTCTATCTCTGTCCAACCAACACGTGGGACACTTTATCTATACTGTGTAGCTACCTATGGCATTTAAATAAGAATATCTGAAGAACAAATACAATTGAAATACATTTAGACTTACAATATACAGTAATATAAATCAGATTCTTAGAGAAGTGTTTTTTTTTCTTCCAAATGGTGGTCATCGACATATTAAAGGGTTAGTTGATTTAAAAAATCTAAAAATCTAAAAATCTAAACATCTGCAATCATTTGATTTGTATTATATAACAAAAAAGATATTCTGTAAAATCCTGTTTTCTGGGGCCTATGCTGATAGACCAATTCAGTGTGAGTATGCATGAACATTTCCTGCTGGTTGCCAAACTATTTCATTACTGTAACAAGAGGTAATTTAATCATATTTTAATTTTAAAATGGCTTCCATAATATGATTTATCAATATGAGGATCTTTTTGGATTCCTGGAGATATGGAAATTAAAAATGTAACCCAGGAAGTACACTCTAAAAAACAGCTCAAGAGGTCTGTTACCAGTACATAGTTTAAATCATTGTAGTAAATTAAAAAAAAAAAATCTTAATTGCTGATTAGATTAAAACTTTTTAGTTGTCAGAATAGTTTTATTAAGTTTTCACAACAAATATTGATAATCACATCAACTAAAAATGCGGCTAATTTAAGGGTGAAAATGTCTGTCAGTTAGTTTGAATCAACATTTAACTTGTAGCAACCCCAAAAAAATGGGTTGATAACTACCAAACAAATGGAGCTCAAAACTTCCCCTTTTGAACTAGCAAGAAGCAAGTCTGGACAAGTTTTAGGCACAAAGGACATTTTAAGGTGGGATATCTGAGTTTTATCTAATTTACAAATCAAATTTCTCTATTCTACTTGAGTGGTGGCTACTATTGGTAAATACAGTTAATGTTAGCAGGGCTTTTTGATTTAAAAAAAAAAAAATTTTTTTTTTTTTTTTTGCTTTACATTTGAGGAGGACCTTGAAAGGTGATGATAATTGCCATCATTGGTGATTAGTCTACTTTGGAATTGAACCGCAAGTCGGAAACCATCATGGTTGAGGGCATGGGAATCCTAAATAAATATCTCAAATTGCTGTGCTCTGCTGATGGGCATAATATATGCTTTGAATCTAAACTACCTCAAGGAACTTAAATATACTTGTGAAGTTTCTCAACTTGATGGACTGAAGCCCAGTGCAAATGCAATGCAACTCAATAACATTATTTTTTGAAGTCTCGACTTATTTCAGAGTAGATTTTGTTCTTTATGTTGCACTTTATGTTCGTTTGTTTTTAAGTCCACACACTGTTTTTTTTTTTTTTTTTTTTATGCTGTTTATATGAGACAGAACACATTTTTGTTTTGTAAATACTGAGAAACTGTGGTGTGAAATAAATAAAAAAAAAAAAAAAACTGGAAAGCAAAAAGGTTGTTAAATATATTTCTTACAAGCAACTAAATAAACAGCAAATTTGAAAACGTACAAAAAAAAAAAAATGTAACAATTCCAGCTATTTAATTATTAGAGGTTCTAAACTTGAAAACGTGCATTTATAATTATGGTATTAAGTACGGTATATGGTATAAGTATTAAGTACATAACACTGGATTTATTTTTAAAAAATACTAGTAGAAACAACCTAATTTTTGGAGTACTCAACTTAAAAAATTGAGTTTATGCTGATTGATAGAGAAAAGGTCATTTGGCTAATAAAGTTTGTCGTCTAAACTTCATTTTGTTAGATGTTGTTGGAACTTGAATATATTAATACAAACTGTTGCGTTATTTATTTATTTATTTGTTTGGTCTTAACAATATTGTTAAGAGTGTACATTAGGACCATTGTTATTGTTTACATACCTCCAAATGGACTATAGAATCAAATGGATCCTGGCAAAAATACACATTTTTAAGTTCAAAAGAAGAAATAAAGTTGTTTTAAAACCACAACGAAACGCATCATCAGGAAAGAGGAGGGGTGACAGAGGCATTTCCCCTCAGTGGAATGATGTCATAATGTCTGTTCTGCGGTTGCTGGATTGTTTTCACCAGTTCAGTACTCTGCACAGCACTTCTTTTTCTTTCTTTCTTTTTCTTGTGTGCGGAAAAAAAGACAGACAAATTTCAAGAGAAAGTACAGTTTCAGAACTTAACCAATTTCGTTTTCAAGCATCAGAATCAACATCTGATTTCTTTTAGGTGTTACTTTTGAGTTAAACCACAGTTAACCTCTGTTACACAGTCACGATAGGTTCCTCTGAACGTCATCTGAAGAAAGCAGAACTACTTTGTATTGTTGTTGTTTTAGTTGTTCTTTGACGTGAATAAGAGAAAAGTGGTATCATGGCAAACCAATGACTCAATGATTATGGCAAAATGAAACTGCATTAGATGCTGATCTGTTTCATCTTGTTTTCTGTTGCACTAAATTGTTCAATACGCATGGACATGTTTTGACATGTTTATGTAACCACACAAGACTCAGCCTTCCAGCTGGCATGATATCAAGGCTTAATCGTTATAATCAGTTTTCATTGTACAGAAAAACAGAAACGTCTACGGTAAAGTTGAGCTCCACAGTGATGGAAAAAGAGATCAGGATTGTTACTCATCAGCAATATCAATACTGACATGAGTTTCCACATTGGCAACAAATGAGCTTGTAGCATACTGTATACAAATGACTCAATGTAGACACTATCGAATGGTTACTTATTGTAACTGTGCAGATCTTTATTTTTACATTAGATTTACCTACTTGTAGAGTAACACTGTACCCAGCTAGCAAAATTCATGTGGCCTAAACTTACCGCATGGAATGATGCCACTTGGGCAGCCCACTCCTGTTTGCCAGATCTGGGCCACAATTAAGCCATACGAATATCACATATTAGCCAGAATTCAACCAAATAAAATAGATCTGACCCTATTCTGGGCCACAGTTTGCTTTTATTTGGGCCCAGATCTGGCCCACACCAAATACTTAAATCTGGCCCACATATCGCATGGAATGATGGCACTAGGGCGGTCTGCACCAGTTTGCCAGATCTGGGCCACAATTAAGCCATAGCAATACCATATATCAGCCAGAATTCAACCAAATAAACCAGATCTGACCCTATTCTGGGCCACAGTTTGCTTTTATTTGGGCCCAGATCTGGCCAACACTAGATACATGCATGTAGCCCACATACCACATGGAATGATGGCACTTGGGCGGTCCACGCTTGTTTGCCAGATCTGTGCAACATTTGCCATATCTTCTTTGGGCCACTTTAGGCATACAGCCACATTAGCCAGAGCTTACTGTGCCAACTATTGTCAAAAGTGGCCCACGTATGTTTTAAAGTAACTGAGCCACATTTGCCATAATTTCTCTGGGCCACTTTAGGTTCACAGCCACGATAGCCAGAGTTTACTGTGCCAAATATTTGACAAATGCGGCTCACAAATGCCTTAAGATAAATGGGCCACATTTGCACCTAAACATGTGAGCCACTTTGGGTTTAGACCCAGATTACCCATAAATGACCATGCCACATTTTTGCCAGCAGTGACCCTCATTTGTCCTCCATCATTTGGGTCAAATGTACCATTTCCCACATGGGCCACATTAGACTCACATTCCGATTACATTTTGCCACAAGTACCAAATCTTTGCCTTAAATGGCCCATATATGAATCTTCACTTTCAACCGCAACACTCCCAAACCACCAACAATACCTCCCCGCTCTTTACTTTACACCCCCTTCAACATCCCCTTACGACATCTCTCCCTTCTCTGGTAACATGCCGGATCTGTTACCCCGATCTGTTCAGGGACCTTGCAATTTACTAGTTTAGCACTGGAAACACCCATATACACTCATTCACACACACACAAACACACTTATACACCATGTACAGTTAGAACCAGACGTTTACATACACTGTATAAAAAGGCACATAACAATTTTTAAAAAGTCAGATGTTGATGTGACTAAACTTTTTCTCTTTTAGGTAAGTTAGGATTATCAAATTAGTTTCTATTATGCTTAATATCAGAATAATGAGATTTTTTTGTGTGAAATTGTTATAACTTTTCTTAAAAGTCAAGTGTACATAGAATAAGATTATTATGCCTCTGAAAAAAGCTCAGATGATGATGTCAAGGTTTTGGAAGTTTCTGATTGGCTAATTGACAAAATTTGAGTTTATTGGAGGCACAACTGTAGAATAGTATTTTAGGAAAACCTCAAACACACTGCTTAATTTTGTGACAACATGGGAAAATAAACAAGTCAGAATTAACAAAAAAGCCAAATTAAAATTGACTAAATTACTCTGGGACAACAAAAATTTTTTGGACATATGTCCTGTGGTCTGATGGAACTAAGATTGTAATGTTTGGCCATAATGACCAGTGTTACATTTGCATGACAAAGGTGGACGCTTACAAGCCTAGGAACACCATCCCAACTGTGCGGCAGCATCATGTTGTGGGGCTGTTTTGCTGCAGGAGGGACTGGTCCACTTTACAGCATAGATGGCATCATGAAGAAAGAACATTATGTTGAAATACTAAAGCAACATCTCATGACATCAGCCAGGAAATTAAAACTTGGCCACAAATGGGTCTTCAAAACCGACCATGATACTAAGCATACTGCCAAATTAGTTAACATGTGCTTTAAGGACAATAGAGTGAATGTTTTGGAGTGGCCATCACAAAGCCCTAATTTCAGTCCTACAGAAAATTTGTGGGCAGAGTTGAAAAAGCTTGTGCGAGCAAGACAGCCAACAAATCTGACTCAGTTGCACCAATTCTGTCAAGAGGAATGGGCCAAAATTCCTTCAAACTGTGGAATTATGAAAAGCTTGTGGAAGGATACCCAAAACATTTGATCAAAGTTTTACAGTTTAAAATCAAAGCAAAAAAAAAAAAAAAAAAAAAAAAAAAAAAAAAACAAGGAAATGTATGTAAACTTTTGACTGTCAAGAAATTAATTAAAAATATATCAAAAAAGAAATTCTCTTATTATTCTGGCATTTAGCAAATGTAAATGATTTAAGTAATCCTAACGGACCTAACATAGTAAACGCTTAGTATGATTTAACACCTGAAAAAAAGAAATGGTTATGTTTCTTTTTTTAGAGTGTGTAAACTTGAATTGATATCTTCAAACTTTCAAAGTATTAGTAACTTAAACATTTCAAGTTCAGTTATCAAATCACTTCAGGTTTAATTAACCTAAACAACAATAAAACAACTATAAAGCTACTCAAATCGTCACCTTAGAATTATAGCATTTAAATCTGCATTCTAAATGACTTAGAGATATTGAGCTTCAAAGTTTTTACATTTCATAGCAAAAAGTATGTGTAACATTTTTTTTTTTAAATCCCATAATGTAAATAAGTTGTCAGTTAAAAAGAATATGTCAATAACTCAATTTTGACAGAAATATCAGATAGAACTTTAATAATTCCAAAGAGGTGAAATGGTCTGGTATTCCTTCTAGCATTAGAGTTAAGTTAACACAATATTTATATAAAATTCATTTACAACACATTCAGTTAGAGTTCTTCTTAATATAATCAGTTTATGAGTTACTTTAACTCTTTTTTCATTGAGTTAAAGTAACTTTTAAAACAAACAAACAACTTATTTCATTTAGTGATTTTAACTGTTAGGTTTAACCATTTTCAAAAGGTTAAAAAAAAATGTAGTTAATAATATAAATAAATGGTCAATAAGAATATGTAATAATAATAGGATAAAAATATTGTGTAAGAAAAAAAAGAACTATTTTCTGAAAGGAACTTTTGTAAACTCCATGTGACTTATCAAATTGCAGTGAAATTCTCCTTTTATAGAGTGCAGTTTTCTGATTGTATTTAGATTGACACAAAATAATATCTGTATACAAATCCTAAGTTTACAATCCTAAGTTTAAATATTTAATTTCAATATTGTCTAATCTATTTCAACCACTACAGTATACCAATATGAGTGTTGTGATTACACACTTCTGCGTCCCCCCATCTGCGGTCTTGAGTCAGCAGCCGCTGCGGTCTGACTGGATCCCACCAATTGACACAATCACAACACTAGTCAAAACAATCAGTTTATACATTTACACCATACAATCCTTAACACACATAAATCAGACATATTGATTTATTAACCTCTCTTTGTAAAACAATCTATCCTCACTAAATAATTTAGTGCAGTTTGATTTCCCACTTCAAACATTTTTTAGACTATATTTAACTTTGCAAGACGGTTTGGGGGGATTTCAAGGAATAGTTCACCCCAAAATGAAAAGATTTTAGTCACCTTTGACTTGTTTTAATAGTCAAAGTATTTGTCTTCTTTCTAAAGGACATATACTGAAGAATGTTAGAACATAATAACCACTGACGTCTATAGTATTTGTTTTTGGTAACACTTTATTTTGATGGTTTAATTGAAAATAAGTAGACCATCTCCTTAATATCTGTTAATACTGCTCCTTCAACAGACCTTTAACTGACTACAAGAAACTTTGCAAGTAAATGTAAACTTACACTAACTCTAATCCCAACCTTACAGTTTACTTATAATCTAATGAGAATTAGCTGACGTGTAGATGCAATGTAACTTAAATTCAACAAAAGGACCATCAAAATAAAGTATGACCTTGTTAATTATCAGTTTCCAACATTCTTTAAAATGTCATTCTAAAAAACTTTATGGGCAAACTGTCACTTTAATGGGTGAAGAGTAAATGAACATGCCAGCTCAAGTAAATGACTGTTTTGTGGACAATCAAGCCACTTTACAAACACTCTACTGGTATTGTAGTGTATTATAACAGTGTTATAGTAAGTAATTTCAAAATAAAGTTTAAAAAGAACCCACATAAACCACATATAAACAACATTTGAGACATGTTACAGTAAACTACTTGAATTAATCCGTGAACAAAATTGTATATTTACCAAGGTAACACAACAACTATTTAAAAGACAACCACCCGATACTGTAGTTTTCTACAACTATAATAGGGTATTTATTACAGATTATCAGTCCACTATTAATGTAGATATTGTATAAATATTGATTTTGGCTGAATTACTCCTTTTTAATATTCTAGTTTCCTGTAATATTATCACATATACTGTATAATACACATTACTATAGCAAAGTTCAAAAACACTATACATAGTAAAACCCAACAGTCAACTTTATCTAATGAAATGAGTGTAGTTAACTCAAAATTTTGAGTTAACTCAGTTGACTCAGAGTATTGAACTCTGTAAACCCGTAAAGTAAACCCATTGAAACTTGGAACTGTTAAGTTGACTTAATTTTTATTATTATGCAAATTGTATTCATATAATAAATACACATTTATTATCTTTGTTTTTATTCCAGCTTTTCTGTATCTATCAAAATGGCAGAAACTGTAATATATCTGTTCTTCCAGACTCCATTGTGTCTTCTTAATTCAATACAGGCTGTAATTGGAGATTTTATACACATAATGAAGCACCAAATATGTAATTATTAAAACAGACATGCTGAAATAGTCTGACACTATAAAAAAGGATTTGTTGACTTGAAAAGTGAGTACAATTAGCATAATTATAAAAATTTGTCAGCTTAACAGTTCCAAGTTACAATGGATTTACTTACATTATTTATGTAAAGTCAAAGCAATTGGCTTACTAACTATGAGTCACTACTCAGTTTTTACTGTGTAAATACCTCATTACTTTAACTCAAATGGAGTAAGTTCACAGTACTCATCTAGATTAGTTTATTTCTTTTACCCCAAAAATTGGTTCCCTCAAATAGTTTGAGTTGCCTTTACTTATTGGGTTTTACTGTACTCAGTTGGTTTGAGTTCTCTTCATGTATTGGGCTTTACTGTTCTCAAATTGCTTCATTTACTCAAATAGATTAAGTTCACAGTACTCATTAGGATTCGTCTGTGAACTTAAATGGTTTGTTGCCATCAGTTTTCTCAAATTATTTGAGTTACCTTTACTTTTTATGATTTACAGTGTAGTATTTACTATAATATTTTTCATGTGTTATGCCTAAGTGGACCTCATAAATGTCACCATGTAGAAAAAGGCCTAGATATTAATATAAGGACTAATTCTCACTGTTAACTACAGTAGTTGCTTATTAGTATACAATTAAGAAATGAGCTGTTTATTAGTACTTACAAAATACATATTCAGCACAATCTTATTCTACATCCCTAATACCTAAACTACTACCTAGCTAACTTAATTACTAAGCAACAAATTATGAGTTTATTAAGGCAAAAGTTATAGTTAACAAATTTTTTATAGCGATAACTGAACCTTAAAATGAAGCGTGACCAAGTTTTCTCATCCATACCTGCTGTTTACTTGGAGCCGGCGATTCTTTAGGGATGAAATGCAGAGATATTGAAGCTGCCAGGCCAAGAGTGAGTAGCGTGACCCATATGATCAGTCCCCGAATCAGCGTTCTCTGATGGATCAAAGCACCATTAAAACCACCACCACCACCCCTGTCTCCACTTGTATCACGGCAGTGTTCGGCAGACAGAGACATGATGCAGTAGTGAGAGAAGAGTGAGTAGCACTGGTGAGTTCTCCGATGCTGGAATTGACAGTGTGTCGATTGAGCGTGGCCTCAACCTCTCGCCTTCTGGTTGGCCCGTAGACAAACCTCAGAATGTGTCAAGCTTCCTGTACCGTGGCTTTGTGTTTGCGCGAGTGAGCGCCTGTGTGTTCCTGTTCAGTTTCTCAGCAGATGTCCAAGAGGAGTGCTGAAGTGTACTTTCCCCAAAGCATGGGTGAAGTGCAATGCGAAACAGCTTCGGGTACAGGGACAGGCCCTCCTACTCGCTGTCAACTGAGGGAAGCAGGTGTCACAGTCCCTTTAATAGACTGCTGGGAGTTTTTCTTACTACAAAACCATCACCTTCTGTAGGCCACGCAATGTGACGCACTATGCGAGACCTGTGCTGGGCTGTTGTGTACAGGTGCTGGTTTTGTTTTTCTTGCCGTCAATTTTTGCGGTGGATGAAGTGAACAAGTTTTGACATGTTGTGGAGTATGTATACGCTGTTATTCTAAGACATGTTCGAACGTGGGAATGATTACAGGACGCCGATGCATCATATATGACTATGATATTCATGTATAGTTTTGACATTTACATTAGATTAGCAGTGGTATTTACACCACACTGAACTGAATTTCAACAGTGAAAACTGGACTGAAGCAGTTTCGATTTACGTCTGTGCTAGGCTGTTTTGACACAATCTCCATTGTAAAAACACTATAGAAATAAACTTTAATTGAATTTAATTTAAAACATAGTTTTGTTTTAAATTAGTTCATTCATTTATAAATTGAGTTCATTACTTTGGCTGTGTCCGAAATCGCCTACTCAGTAGGTACTGCATTCGAATTTGAATTAACTATATGACCGTTAGAAAAGTAATGTGAGTAGTATGAATGGAACTCGGATGTACAACATCCACCATTTTTCATGATCACTCGATCTACTTACGCCAATTGTGTTGCTTCACTTCCATTTGAGAATTCTCTCGCATGCCCCCTTCAAAATCTCGCAGGAAGTAGTAGCTCATCCTTTTCGCATGCTGTTTTTCGAATTCTATAAATTCGGACATACTACTCAGCTTACATACTTATTTTTTTAGCATACTATATAGTATGAAAGTATGCAATTTTGAAAGCAGCCTTTTATTTACGTATATTGATGTAGTTTTGACTAAAATAAAACATTGAATAGAGCTTTTCATTTTTTTTAAGCTTTCATTTTTACGCATCATACCCTTGTAGCAAACTAATGGTTAGGTTGGTTTGGTTAAAAATATTGTTCTTGACAAACTCACTATCATGAATCTGGTTCGTTGATTGTCAACCTTTTCCCCTCTGTGTTCTCCTACCAGCTGTCAGAGCTTGCAATCAGTGCGAGCACTGATCAGCAGTCACCTGTTCTCGCTTTGTCATTATTGACACTCCTATATCTACCTCCCTATTTTCTCCCTCTGTTGTCAGATTATTGTTATTCTGTGCGTTTGCTCTCCATGTATTTTGTCTTTACCAATATCAGATCACATCATCATTGTCTTGTCTCATCTCGTCTGGTTGTTGATCACCCTCCTGTGTTCATCGTTTTATGTTGAGATTCCCGCAGCTTGTTGCTCACCTGTTGACTGTGCTCTGACCATCAGCACCCGGAGGTCAGAGGTTCCCGCATCGCTGTGGACCGATTGGCTCTTCCTCTCTCTCGCTCCCGGTGGGTGGCCCCCTTTTGAGTTTTGTTTTAAAGATGTAGATGTGTGTATTTCCTCTGAATTACAGTCAGACTGCTTTTGTTGAATTTTCTATTAAAAGACTTAGTTGAACTGCACAAACCTCTCTATTGATTCTGTTTCGTGACACTCGCATCAACAGAGAAGGATTACCACTCAAAAAAAGTAAATTGGTCATATTTGATTAAAGATTCAATTGCAGTTTTTTTGTTAATTAACTTGCAATGAATGTTTGTTCACCTAAAACAAATGACAGCTATGTTTCCTTTCAAAGATGTGAACTATATGTTTGTGCATGACTGGATTATCGCATAGAAAACGTGTAAATAAAGCAGTGCTTCCAACCAAGTAGTCAAAAAGAAAAAAAAAACGTTCTTTCCTGATTAACTGGCACAAAATATCACACGTAAAAACTGAATTTGCTGACATAGGAGAAGCTCCGTGAGTCTTTTCTTTAAATGACTAAATGATAATGATAATTTAAATGATAGTGTGCCGATAGCAATGAATGCTTGGTGGTTTTTGAAGGCATCAGACATTTGACTCTTGACAATTCTGGAGGTAATTATTAATTTAATACTATAGTATATATTATAAAATAATATATACAAAATGCTAAAAGGGACTAAGCCGACAAGAAAATGAATGAATATACAAAATGCGCATAAAAATACAGCTTTGGATACAGAATTCTCTCACATGCACACTTCAAAATCTTGCCGGAAGTAGTAGGTCACCCTTTTCTCATGCTGTTTTTCGAATTCTATGAATTCTGACATACTACATAAAAACAGGTGGATGAAAATGTAACTGAGGTGTGCAAGAAAAATAAACATTGAACTTTTGATTTCACACAGACTTTAACATTATTGTTGGAAGAATGGGTTTTAACCACACTGGTTCGAACTGTAGTTCTGCCGAGTGGCTAAAAATCAGCATGATGGTAAAAAAACTGTACATTTCTAGTCAAACTATTCTTCTGCGATCTCATACCAAAAACAGAAATAAGGGCAGTGTTGATAGCTTAAAATACGAGAGAGTGTTGATTTTATGCAATTGTATTGTATTGCAATATGGAGCAAATAAGTGTTGATGTTAAATCAAAAGTTATTCACAAATACTTGGTAATGAGATGATTTAATGACAATAATTTTCTATGGTTACAACTGAATTAATTACAAAATAACTGTACAAAATAATAAAATATGAAATGATAAAAACATTATAATAAATGTACCCATCTTAAATGTAAAAATAAAGTTACCAGAGGTAGAAGTAGAGACAGGGGGAGGGAGAGACAAAGGCCGTACTCACACTAGGTACAGTTGCCTCGAACCGGGCCAAAGCACGCTTGTCCCACCTCCCGTCTCCCCCGACGGCCCGCGCTCACACCACAAATGGGCTTCGGCACGCTTACGTCATCGCTGCTGGGCTGATCAGTGAGAAGCGCTCTCTCACTCAGCAGCACAGTGGAGATTTCTCTAGTTATATCGTTTCAGTCGTTTGATATGCCGTCAAATATTTCGCCTAACAGTCCTTAGAGATGCAGGGACACGCAGTCAGATATTTCGCTGAACAGATACGCTACTTTTGGCGCTCATAAACAATCATAAAGCCCTCGTGCTGCAGGAATGAGGAGGTCTGCTGAAGGCGCGCAGCTTTCGTGAAGTGAGGAGTTTGCGTCTTTAATAAACGACGGCAGTTTGCATTCACTGAACAGTAAGAATGAATCCATATGAAACAGTCCCTTAAAAGTCACGTCTCGCTTTTAGTTTCGGGTTTTGGCGCGTTTTGCACTCACACACAAGCGTACCGCGCCAAAGCCCAAGTGAACCGGGCTCAGGCACACCTCTTCCAACCGGGCCAGGGCCGGCCAAGTGAACCGTGCTTGAGCCCGATTCAGCGCACTCACACTTCTCAAACGATCCGGGAAACAGGCCAGGGCACGGTACGGATGGCATAGTGTGAGTAGGCCCAAAGAGAGTAAGTAGGCCTCAAAGAGGCAGAGAAGATAGGCTCCAGATCAGGAGAGGAGCAAAGCAAGAAAGCACAGAGCTAGAAAAGAAACAGAGCAAAGTTTACCACCTAATGTGTCACTTTCTTGACCATGTGACTAAAGCCCAAATACTGAGACATTCAAACTGACCAATCAACATGTGACTACATCAACAACAAAAAAAAAAAGTCCACATACCAGGCCCTGATCTAATCAATATCTGCCTTTGGAATTTGTGTGAGCTCTCTTTGGTGATTGAAGACATGTTTTGTCATATAAGCAAATGCATATGATAATTTAGACTTTGAATTTACATTATGAATACTAAAGATCCCAACATCCAAGAGGGCAATTATTTGATCAGAGATTGTGAAATATTTTTACAATTCTATTAGAATTTTTGATAACTCTAAGTATCACTTGTCACTATTATTTAATGGCCTATTATCTGCTCACTAATATATATATTGGCTCTTCATTACTTACATAGAACATATTCACAAAGTCATATGTTAAAGGTGCCCTATACCTATATGCATTGTCGAGTTCAGTATATAGAAATGGCCATACCGTTAGCCTCAAACACAATTGTTTCCTCCTTCTCATAAAAAAAAAAAAATCCACAAATGTAAAACCCCAGTGGACAAAAGTTTAATCTGAACACAAAGCAGATTGTTTCGGACTAACGGGCCAGGCCCTCAGCATTTGCATGTACTTCAGGTTGTTTATCTGGATCTGATTAACAACCAAGTTATCAGGTGAACCTAGAGTGAAATGTAGGTCTGGGGTTGTTAATATGCACGCCTCAAGCTGTGTTTGTTAAGCCACAATGTTTCCTAGTGAGACAACAATGGTAATTTGTTTCTCTTCCTTGTTTTAAGTTTACATTCAACTTATGTTTGTGGGAGTTTTATTTTGAAAGTGGGAAATATGGATAGTTTGCTATGCGTTACTAAAAAAGGCAACATAATACATCTCTATCTGTCTATTTCATCAAGTTTAATTATAATTTAGTCTTTATCCACAACAGGAAGGAAAATGAGGGAAAAAAAGATACAATACTCTGATGGGTTTACATTATAGAGTTCACTCACTCCATGCATAAATAAATAAAAAAAGGAAAAGGAAAAATAAGCCTCCATTTATCAATTTAAAAAGATTTATCTAGACTTATCTACTTATCTTAATTAACTACTTTGTTTGTTAAAATACTTTTTTGACAAATTTTATAATATTATATTGACCATTTTCAGCATACAACATGCTGTGTGAGTCTGTGAAA